CTTACTAAGTATCCAAGTCCGTCCAATGGAGTACGTGAGCTGTGAAAGCAAACCAAGGATATATGGGAGGCTATACCTCCAGAATTTTTACAGACACATTACATTACATTTACAGNATGTACGGCAGGATTTCTCCCAAGGACATCGAAAAAATTAATTAATGGAAAAAGCATAGTGGATTTGAAGGAGTGTATTACAAGGCTGCAAAACTATATGTTTTTAGTCGAATAATTTGTGCATGTCCTGAAAATTTGCAATTTTAGACCATTTTTTAATTAAATTTTTATATTGAACTTTTTTAACAAATTCTTTTCCTCTTTTAGAAAAATGCATTTCATAATATTAAATAAACTAAATAAAGTGTTTTAGTGTTTGACATGTCCTCTCGGGTTGGTTAAAGAATAAATGTGGCAATATTAATTAGATAATTTGAAAAATATCCTTTGAAATTTTTATCCTTTAGTATCCTTATATATTTTAATAAGATTTAAGTTAAACTAAGATTCTTCAAAACTCATTCAATATTAAAAAACTTGAAGGATAATATTTTTAAAGGACATTTTTGACATGTTCCAGAAGGATAATTGAAAACAAAAGTTATATTTAATCTTGTTTCGAATTCTTCTTTCATTTGATACCCATATCTCCATATTTTGTGTAAACTTTTGGAAATATATTATAATTTATGGTCCTTTGAAAAAAATTCTGACTACCAGGTAAAAAACCAAAAACGCAGATTTACTAAATATTATATCCTAATACTGTAGGGAGTATAGTAATACCGTCCTATAAAGAAGTAAAATGAGTAAATTAACGAAACACGCGAACTGCAACAAGCTTATTCTGATAACTTTGACTGCAAGTCGGCACGGGTTGCCGTGGTTAGAATTGTATAAAATTTGATTCGGATACTTTTTAAGATGATACCAATAAAATGAGGGGTATGCGTACAAAAAACAAAGTTGGTTTTTTGGGACAGTCTGATATACATATATTAAAATATTTTTATTGGAAAACGCAGCAATATGAATGGCCAAGTCGGGGATGTTCTATCTTTTCGTCGTATTACTGACTTTCGGTTTCGACCGAAGGTGGGTTGAACAAAGGTTTCTGTGCATAATGGTTGGCAGGAAATAGACGGACAGTATGAGTTCGACTGGTTTGAAGGGCAACAACTTTCAACATTCGTGAAAGGCATTGTAACTGAGGAAAATTATGATGCAGGTAATGCATTTAGCGTAACTGAAATAATTATGCATATATTTTTTCAAAAGTAAAAATATACATTTTTTTATATTTATTGAGCGCGCCGTATTACAGAAGCGCATGCCTATATCGGCGATTGACGGCATCTGTTACTGGGAAATTCTAACTGACTGACGGCAGGCTATTTCTTTACACCACAAATGTGACATAATATCAAAAATTCAGCGACTACTTAGTCTAGCAACTACTCTCAACAATTTAATCAAAATTACGCATTAGTATATCGACACCTGCGTGAAAGATCGATCTATCTTAGCAGCCAGTTCGAAAACGTCCTATCTCAGAAAACTTTTCAAAAACGCCCCATTTAAGAATTTTATTGAAAAGCGCCCTATCTCAGAAAACTTTTCAAGAACACCCTATTTCAGAATTCGGTTCGAAAACGCCCTACCTCAGTTGCCGATTAAGAAACACCTGTTCTCAACATATTTTTAATATATTTTCAGTTTAGATTTGATCCAAATTCTGAGATGGCGTTTTCAATGAAATTCTAAATAGGGCGTTCTTGAAAAGTTTTCTTCAATAGGGCATTTTCAAAAGGGTCAGACTAAAGCGAAATGGGTGTTAGTATCTTCTATTGGCATTTGAAGCTCCATGTCTGACACAGGTGGTCGAAGTAGGTGGTGTTCTGGCGACATCAGAAGACATCCGATCGCTGTCCGTAGTGCAGTGTTCCGTGCCGTCTGCAGCTTCATTCACTGCGTCCTACTGGTTCCCGGCGACCACACTGCTGCTGCGTAATTTAGAACCGGCTGGACAATTCCTTATAT